CCCCTGTGTGAATTCGCTGATGTTTCATGAGTTGGGACTTCTGGCCAAAAGCTTTTGCGCATGTATTGCATCTGTAAGATTTCTCTCCTGTGTGAATCCTCTGATGTTTAATGAGCTGTGACTTCTGGCGAAAGGCTTTCCCGCAGGTATTACATCCATAAGGCCTCTCTCCTGTGTGAATCCTCTGATGCGTAATGAGATTTGACTTCCAACAAAAGCCTTTTCCACATGTCTTACACTCGTAAGTTTTCTCCTTTTTGTGATTATTCTGATGTGCAATGAGTTTCAACTTCTGGTAGAAGGCTTTCCCACACTTACTGCATTTAAAAGATGCCTCCCCTGAGTGAGTTAAGTGAGTTTTAGTGAGGTCTGACTTCTGGCAAATGCTTTTTTCACTTTTTTTCTCCGTGTTCGTGCTGTGAGGGGTAGTGAGAAAGAATTTAGAGCTGGAAGACTCGCCACAGGGCAGACATCCACCGGGCTTTTTTCCTTCATGTGTTTTTGGGTTTCTTTTAAGATCTGAATCACAAACGAAGGTTTCCACATTCTCAAAAGATGTATGGAGTTGTTCCGTGCACCTCTGCTGAGGTTTACTGAGGTAGGAATTCTCATGAGGAGCGTCGTTACCAGTCTCAGATGCATTTCCTACAACAACAGTTGACTTCTTACAGGTGTCTCCCCTTCGAACACTTTCGCAGGTGAGGAATGTTCTCTCGTTGCTGAAGTCTTTCCCGTGTTCTCGCTCTTCCAGTGGCTGTAGAGACTGCATCTTGTGATGTGTATGGAAAGGCTTCTGGCACTGGAGGGAGTTTCCAGGGACAGAATGGCCATCACATTTCTCCCCAGCTTGAATGTCATCTAGCACCCTAGGGAAAAGCAGATTCTGGAATGAATCGCATGACACATCTCCTTGCTGAACAATTTCTTTTATATTATCAGTTTCTAGATATAGATTGAGCTTAATCTTTTTTTTCTCAATTCAACTCTCCTGTGAATTTCAATGCTATGTGTCATTATAACTTACCTTAAATTGATTTCTTGATTTTTCTGATTGGTTTTAAACAGGTCATCTTTTCTGTGAGCAACTGAAATGAGAAAAAGTAACGATATTCACGAATCACATCTGAGTGCTTTTTTTTTTTTTTTTTAGTATCGTACACAACGCAGAGAAATACCATTTGAACATATCAATAAGAGATCATAATTCAAGGGCCCAGCGCGGTGGCACAGTGGTTAAAGTCCTCGCCTTGCACGCCCGGGATCCCATATGGGCGCCGGTTCTAATCCCTGCAGCCCCGCTACCCTTCAAGCTCCCTGCTTGTGGCCCGGGAAAGCAGTGGAGGACGGCCCAAAGCTTTGGGACCCTGCACCCGCGTGGGAGACCCTGAAGAGGCTCCTGGCTTCGGATCGGCATAGCATCGACCGTTGCGCTCACTTGGGGAGTGAATCATCGGACGGAAGATCTTCCTCTCTGTCTCTCCTCCTTGCTGTATATCTGCCTTTCCAATGAAAAAATAATAAAAATAAATCCTTATAAAAAAAGAGATCATAATTCATGACCACTATGGATTTTCTCCTTCTTGCATTAATACAATAGAATAAAGCAGCAGGCTTCCCAATGCTCAACCATATATTTCACTACTAGAAATGTTGTAACAGGGGCTGGTATGTTTTGCAATCCATCCAACCGTTGTCTGAGATGCCTGCATCCTACAAGAGTCCAAATTTGGATCCCAGTTATATTTCTTTCAACACTTTCCTGCTAATGTTTCCTAAGAGGCAGAAGACAATGATTCAAACGCATGAGACCCTCGCACACATATGAATGACCTACATGGTGTTGACTGGGCCTGGGGTGTGCAAGACTGGGTTGGGCTCCAGTACCTGCTGATGCTTGCAGGAGCCAGGGTGGGTATAGGACAGATTGCCCTAAGTCTTAGCACTTGTTGAACCATGTGAGAGCTGTATCAGGGGGAGAAAGGGGCAAGAGACCAGGCATGGCTAAACTGTAGCACCCAACAGTAAGAGACAGAATGGGTGTGGGCTGGTCGGGCACAGCAGCTGTTCCTGCCAGGACAAGAGGCGGACCAAATCAGGTTTGGCCAAGCACCCAACAGTGTGTGCAAGATCTGCCACTGGGAAGTGATCTGATAGAGGAGCTTGGAGAAATCCTCTGTTAGGAACGCAGTCCCTGCAGGTGAGTACAAGAATCAACTGGGAGCAACCCAGACCAGGCCAGGTGACACTGATGCTAGCATACATATGGGTCAGGTCTGAGGGTAAGACAGGTTGGGTCAGTTCATAACTCCCACTGGCAGATGTAATAACCAGGATGGGGTACAGGATGAACTGGGTATGGCCATATCACCAGGCAGTTTACATTAGGGCCAGGACTGGGGGCTAGCTGGGCTAGGCTAGACTGCATGAGCTGTAATGGCAGGCAGGACAGGCTGGGTCATGTTATAGCACCTGTTGGAAATTGCCAAGGTGAGGAAGGCCATATCTGCTTGGGCCACAGCTAGCACCACCACAAGTGAGACCCAAGGCGGGTGGTGGACCTTGGTATGGGGGCAGCGAGGACTCCTCTGTTGCAGAAATTGGGACTGGGAGCAGATCAGGCTGTGTAGGCTACAACACCCTTTGGCCTGCATGCGAGCAGGTTTATGGGAGAGCCGGGCTGAATTAAGTGACTGTATCTACTGTTGCACTAATGAGCCACAGCAAGCTGGTTGGTTTTTTGCTGCAACATCAGCTGGCAAGTGCTGGCGATGGGGCAAATCCTATCAGGCTAGACTGCAGAATCATCTGGAGAGTGCAAGATTCAGGAGTGGGAGTGAGCCTAGTAGGAAAACTGTGGGCACCCCTTGGATGTGCTGCAGGCATCACTGGTGAGCATGAGAACTAGGGCTGGGGTGGTCCTGGCAGGACAGGTGTAGCACCTGCAGCGTAAGTGTGGGCTGGATAGTGGGGTTGGTTGGGCTGGGCGAGGATGCAGCACCCACTGGTATATACAAAAGCCAAAGGGTGACAGCAAAGTGTGTGACATGCAGGGTTGGGCTGGACCACATCATTCATTGGTTAGTGTAAGATACTAAGTTGGAGACAGAACCGACCCAGCAACTGCAACCACCCGTGTGTGTGTGTAACCTGATGTGGGGGATGGACTGAGCTGGATCCTGTACTGGCTAGCACACACAGGAGTAAGTAAGGTCTTGGGTCACCTCAGATGAGGCTTCTTTAGGGATTCTTTCAACTGAACCGCTGGATTAAGGACCCCAACCACAGGGAGAATCGCAGGATCAGAGATCTAACTGTGCATGTGTCAGAGCTGGGCTTCCCTGGGAAGATGTGACAGCGGACGACAACACGTCCAAATGCACAGGTAGCCTATGGCGGTCCACAGGGCCTGCAGAAAACATCTGGTACTCTAGCAGAGGATGGAGGGCAGAACCAATTGGACAAGTCTGCCAGGCAAGATTTCACAGCAAGTTGATCTGAGTAAATAGGAGACCCTGAGGTGGACTACGTCTGCCAATGGACCTCCGAAGGATTTCCTTATCCTTGGAGCAACGAAAACAACATCATTTCAGAACCATCGAAACGATCTGAGCAAAACCCTTGGAGCATGCTCCACCTGGGGGACCCTGGGATGACTTTGGGTGGACGTCCCCCATTCCTGGGTACTGATACGATTACGATGCTGGATGTGGCTTCTTCCCTTCTCCCCCCGCTTTCCCCACATACAGGTAGAAGAAAAAAGAAAATTGGAAACAAATCATTGCATCCACTTTCTCCTATTTCTTGGCCCTTCCCACCCTAATCAGTGTCCTATACAGGCATGATCCTTCTCAACTATGTCAACATCATCAAAAAACAATATTTGTTTTCAACCTCCATTTAAAATCAACACACTTGATATTGTCTCAATTCCTGGTTGGCACACAACTACTGGATAATTTCAAGTTCTGATTTCTCGATTTTATGTTGGATGGTTTCCTCCTGTCATCACTGATAATGGAGTGTTTGATGATAACAATGGCCAGAACTGTGCCGATCCGGAGCAAGGAGCCAGGAACTTCCTCCGGGTCTCCCACGCAGGTGCAGGGTCCCAAGGCTTTGGGCCGTCCTCCACTGCTTTCCCAGGCCACAGCAGGGAGCTGGATGGGAAGTGGAGCTGCCGGGACTACAACTGGCACCCATATGGGACCCCAGCACTTTCAACACAAGGACTTTAGCTACTAGGCCACTGTGCTGGGACCCTTTTTTCAGTTTCTGTTGATTCGTTTGAGAGTAACAGAGTGAGACCAAAAACCAGAACTAATCCATGGGCTTAACTCCCAAATGCATGCGAAATGATCATTTTCTTATTTATTTATCTGTTTATTTGTGAGAGAGAGATGAGCAGTGAGCTTCCTCCAATTTGCTTTACACCTCACATTTCTGCAACTGTAAAACCAAGGGTGGGAGCCCAACACCTGCACCTAGTAAGAAATTAGTACTCAAAGTGCCTAGGAGGGACCAAGCTAGTAGCCACTATAATAGCCGGTAGGGTCCAGCATGGGAGCCTAGTGGCTAACGTCCTCCCCTTACACGTGCCGACATCCCTTATGGGCGCTGGTTCATGTCCCAGCTGTTCCACTTCCCATCCAGCTCCCTGCCTGTGGCCTGGGAAAGCAGTGGAGGACGGCCCAAAGCCTTGGGACCCTTGCACCTGCGTGGGAGACCCTGAAGAGGCTCCTGGCTTTGGATCAGTTCAGCTCCAGGCGTTACGGTCACTTGGGGAGTGAATCATCGGACGGAAGATCTTCCTCTCTGTCTCTCCTCCTCTTTGTATATCTGACTTTCCAATAAATAAATAAATCTTTAAAAAAAAAAAAAAAACAGAATGACAGCAGCTACTGCAAGCGTCAAGGCTGGCACTTGCAAAACATCATGGGTGAAGCTCTCCATAGACAACGTTTGCTGAGCTCCTTGCAGCCAAGCCTTCCTGTCCAACGTACGCATGCAGACTGACCTGCACGGCTCTGGCTTGGGGGTTTCTCCACCATCCACGGCTCCGTTCCTTGCTCCAACTTGACGATCACCTCGGGTTTGCTAATGCAGTATCCTGTCAGGGGAGAAAACACTCAACTTTGTCAAGTCATTAACTTAGACGTGTGGAAGCACAACCACTTGGTCCCAAGAGTAGCGACAACGGTGCCAATGTGAAGGGTCGGTGTTGTGGCGTGACAGCTATGGCTGCTGTCTGTGGCATCAGCATCCCGTAAGGGTAACGCTTGGAGGTTTGAGTCCTGGCTGTTCCACCTGCAATCCGGCTTCCTGCAACTGTGCCTAGGAAAGCTGAAGATGGCTGAAGTCTTTGTACATTTACACCAATGCAAGTGACTTAGGAAAAGCTCCAAGTTGGGCCCAGCGGCGTGGCCTAGTGGCTAAAGTCCTCGCCTTGCACACCCGGGATCCCATATGGGTGCCGGTTCTAATCCCGGCAGCTCCACTTCCCATCCAGCTCCCTGCTTGTGGCCTGGGAAAGCAGTGGAGGACAGCCCAAAGCCTTGGGACCCTGCGCCTGCGTGTGGGAGACCCAGAAGAAACTCCTGGCTTCTGATTGGCTTAGCTCCGGCTATTGCACTCACTTGGGGAGTGAATCATGGAATGGAAGATCTTGTTCTCTGTCTCTCCTCTTCTCTCTATATATCTGACTTGTAATTTAAAAAAAAAAAATTTTTTTAAATAAATAAAGCACCTGGGAAAGCAGGGAAGGATGGTTCAGGCCATTGGACTCCTGTAACCACATGGGAGACTGGCTTGGGATTGGCTCAGTTCCAGCCATTGAGGTCATTTGAGGACTGGACCAGTGGAATGGCCCAGTGAGAGATTGTGTGTGTGTGTGTGTATACACATGATGCTATCTTTCAAATAAAAATAAATCTTTAAAAAGTTCAAATTTGAGGGCCCGGCGCGGTGGCGCAAGTGGTTAAAGGTCCTCGCCTTGCACGCCCGGGATCCCATATGGGCGCCAGTTCTAATCCCGGCAGCCCCGCTTCCCTTCCAGCTCCCTGCCTGTGGCCTGGGAAAGCAGTCGAGGACGGCCCAAAGCTTTGGGAACCTGCACCCGCGTGGGAGACCCGGAAGAGGCTCCTGGCTTCGGATCGGCATAGCATCGACCCGTTGTGCTCACTTGGGGAGTGAATCATCGGATGCATCGGAAGATCTTCCTCTCTGTCTCTCCTCTCTGTATATCCGCCTTTCCAATAAAAAAATAATAAAAATAAATCTTTAAAAAAAAAAAAAAGTTCAAATTTGAATTCTTCTGTGTTCCACTTATCCATGCAAGTGGAAGAAAGAATTTTCTGTAGCATAAAAGGGGACTTTTTTTTTCCCCCCACTCACCCACAAACAAGAGGCTGTTGTAGATCTCCAGCATGACATCCTTGTACAGAGCTCTCTGGGTACGGTCAAGGCCTTTCCACTCCTCCGGAGTGAAGTCCACAGCCACGTCTTCAAACGACACCCACACCTGCAACGGCACAGTCCTGCTTCATGTATCCACTCGGAGTCACGCCGCCAAAACTAGGAGCGTGTTCCGAGCGCGTTTGATTTGCGTCTTGCATAACACGCAACTAACTTCGCAACGTACAAGGGCAACAGAAAACAACACAACAATGAAAACATCTTTCCCCGGGACGAACATTCCAAAGGTGCTACAACAGCTTTCCCTATGTCTGCCCCCATCTTCCAAATCTGAAAGGCGTTCACGCCTGTGGATCTTAACATCACAAGGCTTCTGTATTATTATAATAGTATAGACCTTCATAAACAGCTCTAAGACCATCATTCTCCTATTTAAGTGTATCCTGACATTGTGCGTATGGACTATGACACAGAGTCCAGCATCCAATTGTCAAGATACATTTAAGAGTTTCATTGGGAGTCCGTCTTTGAATTGGAAGTAGAGATACGTACTGCACTGCATCCTCACATCTGGATACGACAGTCTCCATTACACAGTTACCGTACATCCCCTTAAATGAAAAGCCACAATACAAATCAACAATAGGAAGAACAACACCTGATGTTATAAATGTCCTTTTCAATGTATTTCTTTTGAAAGAGTTAGAGAGAAAAGGAGAGACAGAGAACTCCAACGTGTGCCATCTGTTGGTTCACTCCCCTGATGGCCACAGTCTCCAGCAATGGGACATTGATGAATCTGGGAGCTTCATCTTGGGTCTCCCACAGGGGTCCAAACGTGTGCGCTACCCTGTGCTTTAACTCCGGATGATTAGAAACTAAACTGAAACAATTGGAAACTAAAAACAATAAAAACCCATAAGTAGTATTAGACAGTGCTTCTCTTAAAGCAAGCACTAACACACACACACACACACAGTTCAAATATCCTGCATGGGTCTACAACCCCCTCAGCTGTGTGATAAATACTTAATTAGACACCTCGGAGGAATAAATCAATCAACAACTTACTGGAGATGCATTCATGTTCTTCGGTCTTGGGAACACGGAGACGTGTACCTGGAAGAGAAGGAACAGAGAAGGCGGTGTGAGAACTGGCAGGGTGTTTTTCCAGCTCATGATAACATCACGATAGCAACAGGTAGAAATATCAGTCTCCTTGTGGAACAGTACCAGATACTAGGTTAATGATGACTTTGTACATTTCCGAAAAGGTTTATTTGAATGGCGGATTTACAGAGTGTTAGGCAAAGAGAGAGAGAGAGATCTTTCATCCACTGATTCCAAAAGACCCCCAACATACAGAAGCCAAACCAGCACTGATACAGGGTGCTGGCGTTAAAAGCAGGAGCCTAACCCGCTGTGCCACAACTCCCTCCCTAATTTTGTAAGACAAAAAAAAAAGAAATATGACTGAAAAGAATTTATCCTTTTTCAGGATGACTGTTCAAATGACATTCAGTAATGTCATGGGAAGAAATAGCATGCTGCTACTAAAATCTACACACACACACACACACACACACACACACACACACACACACACACACAACTATCTCCTGTTGATAGAGTTGCACCCCATAAGTATTTCCAATAAAATACCTTTTCCTTTTAAATCCCCACAAATCCAGTTCCACAGAACACATGTGCCTCACAAGGTGAATTTCTCCCTTGACAATTGCACAGAAAAAAATTGAAATGATATACACTCGTCATGATACAACTGTCTGGCAATTGCCCCAAATGCCACCCTCCCTTGATGCCAAGGCTTCAGAAACTCCTTTAACACAATAATCCTTCATCCTTGACATTTCTTTTAGGTCACAGGCCATCCGTACACATGATACCAGCAGATTTTTTGGAAAGCATTTGCCTGCTGTAATTTGCCTCATTACACAATGATCGTGTGACGAAGCCTTGAACTTGCTTGATGGAAACGAGACAACAAGAACTAGCGAAAAACCACCAAACAGAGGGGGCACTCAAATTACACAGAAGATAAACTACACGCCACGACAAAAGGCCTTATGTGTATCCTGGCTGTCCAACGCGACTTTCTGCTGATGTGGTTGGTCGGAAGGCTGTGGGTGTTGGATCCGTTTGTTATCACCAGGGCAAACTCTGAAGGAGTCCCTGCTGAGCAACCCTACCCCAAACATAAACCCTAACCCCCTACCACCCCTTACACTCATCTTAACCCTTACCCTAACCCTAACAGTAACCCTCTCACCCTAACCCTAACCCTAACCACCTGTTAACGCTAGACACTTGTCCTCAGAAACACATGAGTGCCAAGTGGATGTGCCCAACAGGCCTGGTTGGCAGATAAAGTACTGTAAGAGCTTTATTCAACTAAAACTAACGTGCGAGTGCACCACACTCCGCTGGTGGTGAGAACTGAGTCACGCATCATGCGCTCTCCACTGTTGCTAAGCAACACCTAACAGGAGGCAAGGTACCAGCATCTCATAGAGACTAAACCGTGGCTCATAAGAGCACTACAATGCAGACTTCCCGGGACATTTTCTATTCTGAAAGAAGGCTGTCACACTCTGAAGGCACCCGAATGTCACCAGCAGCCTCAGATCTGAACTGGTCATGAACCACAAATGCCACAAGAAACCCAGCATTGCCACAGTGGCGGTGGAGCCGCCTCTGTCCTTTAATGAGCATGCTTTGCATGGAAAGCAGCCGTTCAAAGAACCAACCCAGGGTTGACCAGCAGGCCTATCCAGAATAATTACAGGAACAACCAGGGCACCAAGAAGGTTGCAGTGCCTGCTGCAGGAGTGACGGGTAAATGGAACTTGAAATGCTGCCCGGGACTTCATAGCCTTGAAAAGGAGGTAAGAGGGGCTGGTGCAATGGTGCAGCATCCTAACCCTCTGACTGGAATTCCATAGGGGGTGCTGGGGGCGCATCCCAGCTGCTCCAACTTGCAATGCAGCTCTTTGCTGATGGGCCTGAGAAAGGAGCAAAGATGGGTCAAGGCTATGGAGCTGTATACCCACCTGGGAGACCCAGAGAAGCTTCTGGATCCCAGATTCAGCTCAGCCCAGCTCTCGCCACTGCACCGTACGGGGAGGGAACAAGTCGGTGGTGGGGAACTGCCTCTCCATCTGTAAGCGTGACTTGGAAGTACAGTGATGGAATGGATGAAAGAAAAGGAGAAAGAAAGGGGGAAAAAAGGAAGAAGAAGAAAGGGATGGGAAGAAAAGAGAGGGATGTAGGGGGAAAGAGAGGGATGCTGGGTCCTAAAGCAACATTCTACCTTTCAAATAAACAAACATGGAAGATGTGGATCGGGTGAGAGAGAAGAGAAAGGTTATTTCCCCCAAAACCATAAGATGTATACTAGCGCTCATCCACTTAAAAAAAAAAATACAGGAAATAGAAATGAAACTCAAAATCACTGGTACAGGGCCCGGCGCGGTGGCGCAAGTGGTTAAGGTCCTCGCCTTGCATGCGCCTGGATCCCATATGGGCGCCAGTTCTAATCCCGGCAGCCCCACTTCCCTTCCAGCTCCCTGCTTGTGGCCCAGGAAAGCAGTGGAGGACGGCCCAAAGCTTTGGGACCCTGCACCCACGTGGGAGACCCAGAAAAGGCTCCTGGCTTCGGATCGGCATAGCATCGGCCGTTGCGCTCACTTGGGGAGTGAATCATCGGACGTAAGATCTTCCTCTCTGTCTCTCCTCTCTGTATATCCGCCTTTCCAATAAAAAAATAATAAAAATAAATCTTTTTAAAAAATCACTGGTACAATCATGACAATGAGTGTCAGATTTGAAAAAAAAAAAGTTCTACCCCCTTCTGAAGACCCCGTCCGAGGAAGTGGAGAGGTTATTGCCTCCGACACACTTCCATCAGACTGTAGCTGCACCTCCCTGGCGTCACGCAGCTCAGACGGCGGATTTCCCGTGATGCCAATGGCTTAAAAGGCCAGAGGTGGACCAGGCCAGAATCAGGTGTATGTACTTCGCTAGTGATGGGAGTCCTCCCTCCCCCGCAACAGGTGTCACCAACTAGTTCCTGACAGGAACACAACAGACCCTATCAACCGCTTCCTCACCTGGCACCTTTCCTTAGCTGAATGTCACTGCTAAATCAGCAGACAGCGGCTCTCGTACGGAAACATTTTCTCTCCTAAATGGGACACAGCTTGCCTGTCTGCTCATCACAGTGCGGGACCAAGCTGCCGTGCCAGGCCCCCTCCCCATCAGCCTCACCAGGCTGGCAATCCCGTCCGCGAATGCGCCCAGCAGCTGGGCAGGTCACACACAGCAAGGGCACTCAGCACGCGGGCGTGAGGCAGCGACCCTCACCCCCAACAGCAAAAATGCACAGCACTGCCCACCCAAAACAACAGCAGGGCAGGAAGCATTGCAGGACCACCAAGCCCCACACCACGAAACCCCACACCAGGGCTGAGGTGGAAGGCTGCAGCCTGAACACTCCTCTGCTTGGGTGCCAACCCAATGATTCCGCTCATGACAGCGCCAACATGCTAACGGGAAGGGGGACGCGCTCACACTGGTTTACTCCTTTGAAAACATCATCTTCCTGGACAGGATCAGCATGGTTCTCTTCCCCCACTGCGTGGCATCTCCACAGCTCCCAGGGCTGAAGCTGTCCCGGACTCCATAAGCAAAGGAACCCGCCCTGGGAACTAAAGCGTTATTATGGACTGGGAGAGGATCAGCTGAGCCAAGCGTTTGGGCGCGCGCGTAAAGAACAGGGAAAGGGGCAAGTGGGCCTCTGCCGGCCGGGTGTTTGTGGAAGTCTGTATTTGACTCAGATCCAGGTGAGCACAGCCCATACACCGCCCCAAGCAGACACTTGCAGGAGCTCAGTTCACTTCTGCCTTCGCAAAGGGGATCGGAGGCAACCAAGGGCAGGGACGCCCCTGCCAGCAGGGGAAGCAAGAGTGCTGCAGGCAGAAGCCACGGAGCAGCAGCTACTTGCACAAGTCTCAAACTGCAGAGGGCAGAAACTAGGCCCTGGGAACTAAACTCGGATGAACAGCATCATCCACGAAGCTCCCGCACACGCACCACGAAGCTCTAGCTGGGCGAGTCAGCCTAAGGCGCGCGGAGGGGGCAGGGGCCCGGGGTACTCAAGGGGCAGGCGGCGTGGACAGGGTGGCCACGGGGCTGATCCATCCTGCTTGCTACGCAGGGCCACATCGTGAGCAAAGGCCAGGGGACATCTCACAGCCGACACAAAGTGGGGGACCGGGTGCATTAAAACACAGGCGAGGGGAGTCTTCCGCCACCCGCCTTTGGGGCCTTCCCACCCGTCCTATTGTCCAGTCCCCGCCTCGGGCCCTTCCACTTGGTATCCAGTACGTAAAACGTTTGCAGCAAAGTGTGAGCGAAGCAGCGCTGGCCGTGGTCGGCCATGCACACTCCCGGGTCACTCGGCGGCGGTGCACCCAGCGAGCCAGGTCCCTCTGCGCACACCCCTTATTCCCCCGGCGCCCTCTGATGCACACCCCTCCCAGGTCTCCGTACTCGCCTTGGGAGTCTTCGGGGCTCAGGACACGCAGGGAGCCAGGACGAGCAGTCACAATGGGGAAATGCCCGCCCTGGGGCCCGAGGCGGGGGGCGCCGGCGGATCCTGCAGCAGCAACTGCAGTGGAGGCAGCGCAGGGCGCACTCGGGGCGCGATCGCCAGCTGCCTGGGACACTGGCGCAGAGCCAGAGACTCGGTGAGCACCGGGGGGAAGGAGCGGCACGGAGCCAGAGACTCGGTGATGGCGGGAGAAGGAGCGGTGCGGCCTTCGGGCCACCTCTGGGCAGTGGGTGGACCTCCAGGGTCCCGGGCTCCGAGCCGCGCGCGCGCGCGCGCACACACACACACACCAAGGACGTTAGGCACTCTGGGAAATGCAGTCCAGGTCCAGGGCAGTCCCATCAAATTCTCCTGCTGGCCCTTCTGCACTGGGTCTGGAAGTCTGGCAGGTGGGAACAGAATGACATCGGAGAGCGTTTGTTTTTGTTTAAGTCCCTCCTCCAATCCCCCCCGAGGAAAAGCTCAAGGGAGGGTGGGTGACGCTCTTCCTTTCTATAAAGAGAGACGCTCGCTGCTAACTGACCCCACATTCTAGCTCCTCCAGAAGCTCTGCCTTCCTTCTTCCAGCATGTATGTCCCTGGAAGGTGTCTCTGGGCAATTGGTTATCAGAATCCAGGCATACATGAATACGAATATGATTTTAGAGGGATTACAAAGGTTCTCGTCTAACATCCAATTTTGGGAATTACAGATTTGGTTTTATTGATCTTTGTAGTTCCTTCCAAATCGTTTAACATCATGCTTAGATTCACCTGGTGCAGCAAGATAAACGGGGACTACACGGAGAGCCAACACTGCTGAGGGCGTTAACCCACTTCTCATTTAACCCTTTGATTAACTCTGTAGACCATATTATCATGAACTTACAAGGAAACTGAGGTGGAAAAGGTTTTGCGATTTCTTCATGGTAACACATTTTAAATCTGGAAGAGCAGCTAGTATCCAAGACTGCATTTAGAAATCTTATGTCTTTTTTTTTTCTTTGTAAAGATTTATTTATTTTCATTGGAAAGTCAGATATACAGAGAGAAGGAGAGACAGAGAGGAAGATATTCCATCCGATGATTCACTCCTCAACTGACCGCAACAGCTGGAGCTGAACTGATCCAAAGCCAGGATACTGGAGCCTCTTCTGGGTCTCCCACGCAGGTGCAGGGTCCCAAGACTTTGGGCCATCCTCCACTGCTTTCCCAGGCCACAAGCAGAGAACTGGATGGGAAGTGGAGCTGCTGGGATTAGAACCTACGTCCATATGGGATCTGGACACATTCAAGGCGAGGACGTTAGCTGCCAGGCCATCACGGCGGGCCCAGTAATATGAACTTTTTAATGATGTTGGTCCTGTTGATCCAGTAACCTGGTAAGTTTCTCTTTCTCTTAATGTCTTCTATTTTTTTTTAAAATGTTTTGTAATTTTCATCATGGATTCTTTCAGATCTTTGGATAAATTCCAAGATGTTTACTATTCCTATGATACCATGTCAGTCCCACTAAGTCTTTACTGGAAGGTTGGAGATATCTGACTTTCCAATAAGAACTGAGACCAAACATTTTTAAATGGCTCATAAGATAATAAGTATCATAAATAAATGCACCCAGAAAAAATCCACACTTACGATGAGAATTGAAGTAACACAAGCACAAATTAATAAAAAGAACAAACATTGGAGCTGAAGTACTCAATGAAATTGGACTAATCAATAAAGTATTGAATGGAGAATTGTACGCAGTGCAGCAAATTTTTGACTTCTTAAAACATTTATTTAGCATAGTTATTTTGTTTTAAAGATTTTATTGGAAACTCTAAAAATACGCAAAGTATGATTTTCATCTAACCAGGATGCCTGGCTCATCACTAACAAACTGGAAAGAGCCATAGGTGAACCAGTACTTAGGCATACAACTCTTAACGTGAATCAAGAAATCTGTAAATACACCCCATTAAAGAGATCAAAAGTAGCGAGATTCAGACACAGGATTGAGGAAGACCTCACATATCATGTCATGAGAGAGGTGAGACTTGGAGGTTAGCATGCCTCCATTTGCTGTCTTTCCCTCTTGCAGTCCAACAGCATGGCACAGGGACCCCAACTGCACTGCTCAGGAGCCTCCTCATGGCCCTCTTGATGTCCCTGTTCCTCAGGCTGTAGATAAAGGGGTTCAGCATGGGGGTGACCACCGTGTACACCAATGAGGCCATAGCACGCTTCCAAGCAGAAAGTGAGAAGGCTGAACTGAGAAACACTCCGAAAGCAGTTCCATAAAATAAGCATACCACTGTGAGGTGAGAGCCACAGGTGGAGAAGGCTTTGTACCTGCCACCTGCTGATGGGACCCTCAGAATGGAGGACACAATTTTGTAGTAAGAGTAAAAGATCCCTGACATAGGGACAAAGCCATATATGATGCCAACAAGATATATGACTATGTCACTGCTGAAGGTGTCAGAGCAATTAAGATAGAGAAGTTGAGAAGGGTCACAGAAGAAATTAGAAATGTCCACTCCGCTGAAGCAAGTAACCCCCACGAGAACCAAAGTCTGCATCAGGGAATCCAAAAGGCTGGCCATCAAGGACAGCAAAAGTAGGAAGCCACAGCGGCGGGGGTTCATGATGACCTGGTAATGCAGGGGGTGACAGATGGCGACAAAGCGGTCATAAGCCATCACCAACAGGAGCACATCATCCATGCTTCCAAAGAGAACAAACGTGAACATTTGCATGAAGCAGCCGTCATAGGAGATGGCTGTGCTGTGGGTGAGGATGTCCACAATCATCTTGGGAACCGTGGTGGAGATGAACCCCACGTCAGCCAAGGACAGGCTGCCGAGGAAGAAGTACATGGGTGTGTGCAGGTGGGAGTCAGAGGTGACAGCCAGGATGATGAGCAGGTTCCCGAGCACCGTGACCAGGTACATGGACTGGAAAAGTCCTATGAGGAAGGGCTGCAGTTCAGTATCCTCGGAGAAGCCCATGAGGTGAAATTCTGAGACACGTGTGTGGTTTCGTGTTTCTGCATAATCTGCACTCCTGCAGGAAAAGAAAATAGTGTTGGTGAAAAGAAAAACAACACACAGCAGTTACATATGTTTGTAATTCAACCTGTTCTGTGGACATCACAGGGGAAAGTGTGAGGTACAGATTATAACTGGAATTTGCAGGAAAAAATAAGTACATAAGATTTAAAATTCATAATTTCACATTGATGTGTATTCTTCACACTCTTTGAAAATTCTCATGGTTTCAGACATAGCGACCCTAAAATAAAGCAAAAAAACTCTCAGAAGACAGAAAAATGACTCCTTTCTTCCTCTTTAAAGAAAATGCAATTCTTATCCAAGAAAATGAAGCAGCTTAAATACAGCTAACATTATTCTATGGTGACAGTAAATTCCCTTGACTTGGAATATTTACAAATACACTGCATAAACTAGCACCGCATTACCTAAACACTAAAGTGCACTTGAATGTTCATGAAAGGCACATATCATTACATATCAGGATTTACTTTTTTCTTGAGTTTGCTCATTTACCTCCAACACCTCCTTTTCATTGAGAAGCAGACACACAGGGAAGCTGCAAGTGAGACAGACTGAGCCCCCATCCACCGCTTCACTCCCCAAATGCCTGCAGTGCCTGTGCCAGGACAAACACAGAGGCTGACACTCAATCCACCGGCTCCTGACACTCAAGCCAGGTCTCCCTCATGGGCAGCAGGACAACCAACCACAGGTGCTGTCACCACTGCATCCACAGTCTGTGTTGCCAGGAAGCTGAGTCATGAGCAGAGCCAGGAAGCCAACTCATGACCTCCCGACTGGGAGTCCTGCATCCTAACCACTGCTGTGTGCTACTCCTGTTTGTCTCAAAATGATTGAATATTTATCTTGTACTTTCTCTCTCTCATCTTCACTCTCTGAAACTCTGCCCTGTGCCCATTCACCTTTGCTTTTGTCCATTGTTAGCTCCTCTGCCGTTTCTGCAGTAGAAATGAAATCTACATCCCTACAGAGTGTCTTATGTGGATATTGAGCGGGATGACTACAAGAACAGAGAGAGAAGAAGGTGGAAGTGACATTTCTCCAGAGAGAGACCATCCCCAAAGGACCCTGTGCCTGCTCTCTCTGTGATCCCTGAGTCTGAACCCTGCCACCCTTCACTGATCCCACCCACCACGATCTGTAAAGAAACCCCAAAGGGAGAGCACAGTGGGCAGAAGGCGTCTTCCTGGAGGAAGAGAAATGAGAAACGCCTGGGTCATCACAGGGCAGTAACGGCCACACTCTTAGTGCATTGCATTCTGATCAACAGACAGCTTTCATTTCTTCTACCTGACTATCCGATAACAAGTTACACACAAAAGCGCTGAGCTCCTAGCTCTTCAGTAAAATAAAAACATGTGCAGCATAATTGGGGAATTGCATAGTGGAATCAAGCAACCTAACTTAGATTATAAGTGCAAAATGATTAGGAAGGTAGGAAGCTCTCAGTGAAGGTCTGTGATGCTTTGGTTACTGTTGCTGTGGTCCTCATCTTCCTGGGTGTGCAGGGAAAGTTTATGTATATTCCGTTCCTACTATCATGAAAGAAATCCCATTAGGAAAAAAAATCCATGTGAGAGGAAAGAAAACGAAGGGTGAGTTTTTGGTTCTCACCTGTAAGATCCATGACCATAAACTTCCCAACATCCTGAGCCTAAATGCTACCTAATGGTTCTCTCCCCTCTGTCACAGCTAGCACCTTTGTCTCCATGATGGGAAAAATGGTGATTCTGATATTCCACAATGCTGCCGTCTCCCTCAGCACTTACCAGGCTGTCCTGAGTCTCAGCTGAGGCATGACCCAGGCGGAGGGCTCTGCTGCTTCTCCTCTTCCCACCATGCAGTGGTGCCTCACATTTCTCTACTCAGGATTGGAGAAGAAACAGACTCAGGCTGCGTCCTTCTCATACCGGAACTCACAATGCTATGGCCCATAGCACAGGGCAAAGCCCAGGTCTGAAAGTGCTGGCTCATTATTTACACTTGGAAGACCCTTGGGGGCTCAGTGCCCAGAGCTCCTCATTAACCAGTAGCTCCAGGATGTCCCAGTCTCTGAGGACTGGCTGACGCTGATGGAGGAGGGAATGGGGAAAAGAATTTGTACCTGACACAAGGGACCTTTACACAAAAAAGATCACCTGTGCTCCTTTGCTGTTGCTTCCAAGTGCAGGCTGTTGACATCACAAAAACAGTGCTGGTTTTTAATTTCAACTCAGTAAGTGATTCTTTGTGCTGTTTGATGCATTGATTAATCATGACATTAAGGGAGAATGATACTGTAGCAATAGTCTGATACCGTTTCCATTTTCCAACCATCGTTATTCTCTAAAGTCAGTCCTCGTAGCAGTTGCTTGAGATGAGACTTGATGTCTGGGCAACTCACAGACTGACAGAACGACTCCTCACTTCTAAGCAGCGTCTCCTCGAAGTACACTGGCACCGTGGAATGATTCACTTTTATATATTTATTCTTGAGTTTATACTTTCATACAATAGTTCAGGAGGAGCAAAGCATAGAGAATAGGTTGTTCCAGTTTAAAGAATATCCATTATAAGATAATGGATAATGGATAATGGATAATATCCGATTACCTTGAAATGTAAGACACTTTAAGAATGCAGAACAGTGTTTAGCTGTTCCTGTTTTCTGGTAAATATTTGTGTGTGTGTAGTGATATAATCTATAATGATCCCGCCTAAAGGAAAGCAAAGTGTCCACTGATTCCTGAGTTCCTCCCCTGAATCACAGCTATAGCATATGAAAGCTTTTCAGTCGAATTATCCCAGCTGCCTCGCTTTGCTGCTTTGGTAGGAGCAACGATCCCAGAACCACAAGCTCAACTCAGCGTCCTTCTGAACACGGAGCTGAGCTCTGTGTGCTACAGCATCTCTGACAATTAAAGATCCGATTTCCTGCATCCCTTGAGTCATGAGGACAGATGGACTGGCCCAGACCTCCCAACACAAATGATCCAGGGTATATACACACTCAAGTTATTTTCTGGACTAGCCAAGCGGTCTTTTTAAGTTGTTTGATTTATTTGAAGACAGAGAGAGAGACAAAGGCAGAGTAAGATATCCCATCTGCTCTTTATTCCCGTGTTGTCCCCAACAAAGAGGCTTGCCCAGGCTACAGCCAGTCCTAAGAATCCAATTGGGTCCTGAGATCCAAAGCATGGACTCTTGGTTCTTTACTTCCTCCAGAATTCCCAAAGTCGCATTCTGCAGCCAAACTGAGAACAAATCTTTCCATGTATGAGTGTCAGCAGCCCACCAGGTCGTTCATAAACTACACGTTTGTCACTGTGACGTCAGTAACACGGTAGGTTAGGAATTCCCATGTCTTCGTTTTCCACGCAGCCACGACTTAGCATCAGTGGATCTAACTGTCTTTGTAATCCCTCAGAAGAGCACAAAACCAAGGAGGGTATCAGAGTGAATAAGAGCATTTATTGCCTTGGAGTGCCAAGGTCCTCCTGGTTCCAGAAGCACCATTGCAGAATTAAAAGAAAATCTCAACTCCTAGCATCACTTTTGGAAGAACTATGGTGAGGTACAGTGCTGTGATGTAGTGTAGCGTGCTCATGTACCTTAAAAGCCACTGCATGCAGTGCTGGCATCCCATTTGCATACTGGTTCAAGGCCAGACTGCCCCACTTGCAATTTAGTTCCCTGCTAATGTACCTGGGAAAGCTGCAGAGAATTGATTCAACAAGCATTTCGGCCCCTGAATCCAAGTAGGTAACGGAGAGAAGCTCCTGAGAGAGTTGACCTATTAAAGACACAACATCCCAGGATCAGGAGTCCACGGAAGAAGTTTATTGAAAGCTTTCCTTATATCCATGTTACCCAGTTCTGCTAGACAAGTATCTGGGGAGATCATAGAACCAAAATGGACTATGTCAATTACCAGACCTTGGAAGGATTTGCTCCAACTTGGAGCAAAGAAATCAACAGCGTCTCAGAATATCATAAACACTTCAACACTACCTAGGCTCCACATCAGCACTTTGGGATGACATGGGGTGGCCTTCCCTTGACTCCAGCGTACTGATGTGCCTGGGATGCTGGGAGTAACCCTTCTCCCCTTCTCTCTGCACTTTCCCCAGACACCAGAAGAAAAAAGAGAGCTGGAGGTAGTTGTCTCCTTCCCCCACTTCTTGACCCTCCTCATCCTGGGCAGGCATCCCTCTCAATTATCATTCCTCTATGAAAGCATCATCCAAAATTAAATTTCTTATTTAAAAATTAAAAAATAAAAAAAGAACAATATACATGGTACGTAAGTTCGAAAGAAGAAGAGAGAGGAAGTGTGGTCGACAACCAGTTTGAAATGAACGAAATTTGGGGATTGCTGAATTAGAGGAAGGAAATACACATACAACCATTAGGAAGCTCAACAAACTTCAAATATAATAAAGTCAAGATGCACAAAGGGAGAGTCCTAAGTGTGACAAGGGAAAATTTACACATCACACACCACTAAGTTCCCCAAAACTAGCAGTCTTTGCAGCCTAACCCAAGGTTGCCATGAAAACTCTCATCTCACATAAGGCAGCCTTCATGCACAGACAAGATCTACAGCCCTTCCACTGCTGTGTGTGCTGCATCTCAGGGTGTTGGAGATTTTTGTTTTCCTTTTCATTCATGCAATAAAAAGTTTCTGTTTTCTTGTGAATTTCCTCAGTGACTCATAGGTCACACAGCAGCATTGTGTGATTGTGATTCGAGAACATTGTTTATTTTCTTTTTCATTTCTTCAAACATTGGCTATTCAGTAGCATGCTATTTAACCTCCTGTTGTAAAGATCTGTTTTTTTTTTTCCTCCTGTTGTTGCTTTGTTTTATGGCTTTTTGTTTAAGGGATGTATGGTAACTGTGTAACACAGACTATCATATCCAGATGTGAAGATACAATGCAGTATGCATCTCTCTACTTCCAGACCAAAGATGGACTGCTAATGAAACTGTTAGCTAATATCTTAACAAGAGGATGCTGGACTCTGTCATTGTCTTCAGGCACAGTGTCAGGA